TGTTCATAATTCAGCCTTTAAAATCACTCGAGTGATAAAACTTAAGTCCTATCGCTTCGTTTATTGTTCACCAGTACTCTAGCAACTGTGGTCTCTGACACACGGGCAATGCAGACTAACTGATGTTGAGCATCCCTGATGGATGACCCAACTGGTCATGAGAACCTACGAAAGACATTTTTTCGTAAAAGCTGTGCTCACCTCATTGCATCTCTAAAAACGGTAATCAAACTGCAGTCCCCAGATAGACATCGTTCAGTGAAGCCTTTCTCACCCTGGGTCAAAACCGGCACTTTGTACATATAACAGACTAACCCAGAACGTTTGCTCACCCCGACATAAGTTCGATCTGGAAGTCCACTTACGCTTCACCACCCACTACCCGTTTCCGTGTTGACCAACCGATATATCCGTAAACATTGTTGTTTTCTTATTCCACAGGAATGCATCAAAAAGATCATACTTTACTTTGTGACCCAAAGTTTGACTGAAATGTTTTCATCTCTCACTCTCAATCTTCCTCACCTTCCGAGCAACGGTTTGAATCATTGATACCGTCCAGGATATTTTTTGCCTAGGATAAAACATCATCTAACATTTATCCTCATAATGATAGTGATTTGTATTCCCTTGATCTTCCGAGATTTCACAAGGTGACCATCATTCTGAAAATCCCCTATACTCAGAGAAAGAGTAGGCTACAAAATGCACGACGTGATTGAACCGGCCGAAGACAATTTTGATCTTTTTTAATAAGACTATACACATTTTAAACTTCTTTCCTTGTGTATCGCTTCGGTTACTTGGATAAACATGAAATTTTCGCAAAAGATACCTCGGATGTTGATCATGAAACAATACTTTGCGATAAATACCAGTTTTGTAAGTTTAGAACAATTGAGCAGTTTGCAAAACTATTTGCGTACCCTTCTGGCCCGTTAGCTGCACCCAGTGGTATGTCCGGTCCGGTTTGGGGGCCATGCCAAACCCAAGTCGGCGGAGGTTGACCGTGCGCTTGGCAGGCCAATTTCGACGGAACATGAGAAAGACCGTAAACAACACTTTTATTGGTCCCGTCCATTTCCGTACTCACACTGGCCGTGCCTGATTCCTCACCAGCCGACCGAGTCACAGATCGTGGTCCCACATCGACCGGGGCGAACCACACGGTCAATCGACCGGCCCCTTCATGTGCGGTTGGTGTAATCGCACGCCAATGAGGTCCGGCCAGCACTTCACACGCGTAATAGGAGTTATCTTCCGGTTTTAGATCTGTAATATACGATATAGTAAACATGTGTGATTTGCTCTGGTCACTGACAAATTCTATTTGTAATCATTTCCAATTTGAAGACCCAGGAAAATCATGGGCTAATTGTGCGAGGTAATAATATGAACAGAGTTGTTCGTTTCTTGTTACGAATATTTCAGATACTGTGGATTAATACAATTGTTGACAACGACCTAAAAAAGTCAGTTAAGCCGTGGTTACTCTCTGACAACACATCAAAGACCGAGGTAAAAGTAGCAACTTGTTCACTGCACTCTTTCAAGTATCCGTGCCATGACCACAATAATAGCTGTAAAACAGAGCACTAATTCTCCGCTAATGATCATTGTGGTAGAGGTAGTAGTTGAAAACGGATTTGCAATGAACATAACGCTGCATAAAACCGGAACATTTCCGGGGCACGTGAACTCGACAACTCAACAATTGCTCATTCGGGACATTGAGCTTAATGAAGGAAACATGAATAATCGCATTAGTTAATCGTCGTTGTAAGTTCAAAGCAATCTCAAAAACACGCAATCTTCTCCTCTTTAGTGCTGTGAATAGGTGTGTGGTGCGAATTCTGGTTCGTTGGGAAATTCAAAAGCATAGATTGCCGAAAGTGACGGGGCTTTTGTGCGGTGGCCCAGTCGTTTAAATGTGACAGTGTTTTCTAATACGACAAAAGAGCAAAGGGGAGAGCGATATCGCGCCCCGTAAAACTACTAAAATACTGTGGAAACTTCAATGAGGTGTTTGTTCTCATGAGCACCATAAATGTGCAAAACGTCAGAAAGATTGGTCAATATACGAAAGAAGTTTGGTTAATGGAGGTAAAATCCAGTCTAATTATGTAAGGTCTAAGCGGCCAAAATCTTTCTGATCAACGTAACTGCTTGCTTTACATAACCATACATCACTGGTAATCAAGGAAAATACGTGTATTTTAAGATAACCAAGCTCGTAAGTTTCTGACTCTGGATAGAATCAAACGCATTCCTAATATTTGCATGCAGCATTCCCGAAAGGGTGGGATAAGTGCATCAATGTGTATAGTCCACCAAAGGTTGTGCACAAACGATCATGCGTGACTGGTTGGCTTGATTGAATGGTGACCGTCAATACTCGTGAACCTTGAACCCTGATTTTAGTGTTTTCAAAATAAGGCAGTGAGGGTGTTTAATGCTAAACGATTAAGAAAATTTTGTCCCAAATGAAATAGCTGTAAATTGCTATTTCATTTGAAATTACAGGATAGCATACCACCTCGTTTTTTATAATTGATACCTTACAAAGATTGTTGTCACTGATCACGCAAGAAGATAAAGGAAAAATTATCACAAACTCCTAGTGTGTTCCGTCTTACCCCATGATTCAGTGATAACTTATTTTAACTTCATCTGAATGTGAGAGCTTAAACACATCCGAACGGGCTATTGCGGAGCTCGCTGAGGTGTTATGTGGATTGTGCAAGCAGTGACTTTATCTTGATAATCCACTCTGAACTCTTTACAGGTGACAGAATGTATTCGGTTTCATCCATCGGGTGATTTGTTTTAGCAAGATAAGTAAACATTACAATAATGAGTGCATTAGGTTCGAATGTTTGTCTACGCAGATTGTTGTCCATTGATCTATTCCGGAAGACAGTCTGATTGTGCGAAATCCAAAAACTGTTCTGCAGGAACAAGTGCACAGAGAAAAGAATGTAGATTGCCTTTATAGGCGTAAACCATTACCTCACTCTGATGTAATCAGTATCCAAAATTTGATCAGCAGCATTTATATTAATATTCCTTTGGCGTGATTCGGAATCACCCAAAAATAACATTTTTCCCATGCAGTATTTTACCTTAGTTTCCACAAACTCTCAATGAATAGAAGATATAAAGTGGTTTTGATTCAATGAGCTTTGCACCCATTCAACGTATGCAAAAAGATCATAGGTTTATTTGATAGTAATAAAAGGTCCAATCTATTATTATTATTATTAATATTATTATGTTTATGGTTATTATTATTTAGATCTTGCTCACACCTAGATGTCTATTCCATAGAGCCTCAGAAACATAGCATATTCAGCACCTTATAGCCCGAAGTAAACTTTACTGTTTTAAATCGGTTCCACGCCAGATCTGTTTTATGGGAGCGTTATGTAGTTCATCACTTGTGGTCCTGGGATAAGGTCACTGGTTGACTTGCCTTGACAGTTAGCCTAGGGAGAGTGTTTATTCCAATCGTGCGATTTGAAGAACTCCGTTTACTTTAATCAGTCTTACAAAGGTTGAATGCATCAATCGTTTGATCATTAATTTATCCCACTGTCTTGCTGTATTTTTGTATGCTTCTATCATAATCACAAGTCTCGATTTCATGGTTTAATTTACCTAACAGAACGTAATTGAGATTGAAACTCAAACAATAGATTGTGAAACTTTTATTGAACCACGTAACCAGGCTGAATGGGTCATGTTACCGGGTTGTGAACAGAAACAACGGGCTCATGGATACAACTATCAGCATAATTATCCAATTTTCAATCATCACAAAGTAATGGGGACATCATGATGCCGCTCGATGATCGAGTATGGTTGGGAAAGCAAATAATCGGCCCTGGGATTTTCGGGCCACTAAAGAGAAATGTTCTTCAAATAACCATTTAATAATCCTCCAAAGTTACTCGGAATGTTCGAGCTGAAAAAATGAGCCATGCATTTATCATGTAAAGCAATAATCATATAATCCGGGGTCTGTTTACACCAGAATGAATTGTCCTGAATTTGGACAATTTAAGCCATTCATAGTTTCATATGAAAGGAATAAAATGATGCGTTAGGTTTGATAAATAGTTACTTCACGACCAAACTGTTTGCAGTATTAATCAACACTCAAGATCAATGGTGCATCAGATATGACATCTTACGGTCCTCGTTCTATGATTTCGTGTGACTGGTGGATTGTATCCAAACTGAGGTCCAAGCCGGTCAATTCTACTCGCGGTTCTAAGGTCCGAGTTTCTATCGTACCCACCTCACCCAAATTCAGCGCTAGGCTTGTTCATAACAGCCTAGTCCACAATATCCTGATTGGATGTTAGTTATTTGGTCGCTTTATTTTTCTTTTCAGTCTAGGCTATCGGTTTGCATAAAAAAATAACTGATTCTCCTGCGTAAACCTACCTCCTTCCACCATATATCAAACTAAAGTATGAATTGAAAAAATTAAACCATAATTTCATTTTTCCACTTGACCCACACAAAATGGATTGATTGAGATTGGTCGACCTCAAACTGATCAATTTGAGAGATTCAAGGAAAATGTGAGCAGTTGGTGATATTAATCCATAGGTTGAAATTTCCTTTTGACCAACCTACTCTTGCATGTCGAGTTGCGAAAACGTCTCTCGTGAATTAATCCTTGTGTTTTCAAATTTGCCAAGTCTCAAGAGCCCAAAAGTTGATAATTGTTGGTAATTACGCGCTCGCGTCCGTCTTTCTGCTTAGGCCGTTCCGACAACTGGATTAAGCTAGTGCGGAGCCGATTTACACCAGCCTCTAAATCAATCGAGCATCTCACTTTCAACCAACCAAAAATAACCGGTTAATAGACGGGAAACTAACTGGAATGAGACAATAACTACTGATAAATGAGAATTATAAAATTTAAAAAGAAATCATGCTCGGTTTCACAAATCTTGCTTTGCCTAGAACCAGCAGGAAAAAGTACAGCGAAATATTCGACCCATACTCGTCTGACCACCGAAAGCTGTTTGTGTGCGGAACAGCCAAAGTCCAAAAATTAAAAGCCCTCAGTGCTTTGCACTTTTAAAAAGTTGTTGTTTGCTCGATGGCCTACAGGAATCCAAGTGTTTCATATAAGAAGTACTTACACCTATTTCATAAATTACACTCATTCCGAATTGGGTAATTCACGTTTGGCAGGCACTCTATTTGCATTCTATCCTTTCGAACAAAGATCTTAGTTATCGGCTC